TGAATGCCATTAAAATATGTTTAGGGTTCTCCTCCTCCATTAAATATGATTTGCACGCTAAAAAATGAAATAAATATGGATAATTACATACGCACCACTCAAAACATTATTATTTACGAAAATACATTCAGACAATAATTTATAATTAAGTAAAAATTAAAAATATGGGTTAAAGTTTTATTTTTAATTTTAATATTTAAGCAATAATATAAAAAAGGATGAAAAAGGGTGCTAGATTATATGAAAATATTGACTTTATATTTATCATAATAGATAAACTTTTTAAAATATATCGTTATTTATTATATATAAGAAATTAGCCCAATTATTTTATTTACCAAATTATCTTTACTCTGTGAGTCCCATTATACTACTTTTAATTTTTTTTAAATTTTGTTATGGTACTTAATTAATTTATTTATTAAATATTTTTATTGTTTTGTGAGATTGACATTGTATTTATTTGATATGGAATCTAAGCATGAACTAAGCCAGGAATTTAAGAATAATTTGAATATTTTATGTTATTTTCATACTTTATTCACATATAAATAAACTCAATGTCAATTTAAGAAGATTAATGAGTGTCAAACAGAAACACTCTTCTTATGTCGATAAGAGAAGCTGAAACACTAGATGGGTCTTCTAGGCCTAATAGATTGTCCTAATTGTTGCACAACTAAAATTTGTATGTGAGCATGTGTGTCAAATTTACAATTATAGCACTTGTCTTTGTGAAGGACTCAGTGAGCCCCTCCATCGAGCTTGCGAGTATTCATGTGTGTTCTTCTTGTCAAGCTGGCCTGTATTTACCGAACCACACCAATGAGTTCGTTGAACAATCCTTCATGGTTGTCTTTAAGGCAGAATTAAGTAAATCCCAACTCATCATTGTCCATGCCTATGCTTATGGGTCGCCTGACACCTGCAATAATACATTATCAACATCAAATCTCAACATACCCCACACAATAAAACCTAGAATCAACTCAACATACCCCATACAATAAAACCTAGAATCAGTTATCTTTTTTCTGTAGCGCTACAGGGGCAAGAGTGTTGAGAGTGATATAAGAGAAGGAGGGGTAGCAGAAAAGAGGAGGCCACCCTTGAAAATCCTTTGCTCATTTTCACCTCTAACACTCACCTTACATGATCTCTTTATATTGCATGGATTCACGAAACATATTGGACTCTACTTCCTAAAAGAACTCAACAATAAGAAATTTCATAGATTGATTAGTTATATATATGAAGTTAAACAATCGGAATAATGGTTGATTTATTTGATTTTACAAAATTCATAATAATTAAAATAGAGAGGTGTGATTGATATTTATTTCTTTGTTTAATGAAATATACTAATTTTTTTTCCTGCAAAAATGCTCCTATGTTGATCCCAAATCATTTCCTTAAGTTAGTCATGACTAAAATATATTTGAACAATATCAACATAATTAAGTTTCATCAAAATATTAAGATCACATGTAAGAAAATTTTAACTTATATTTAAATATTGTTCAAAGTTCATTTAGATCATGCGTTTTAATTCAGAATTAAGTGTAAACTCTGTTCAATCATATAAAATAAGGCTTGGAAAGAATTCAAACAATGTTCAAATAGGGCAAAATAATAAAGTAATTACCTCAATTATAACATAAAAATTATAAGATACACATAATAGACTATTATCCAATAGTTATAGCACATCCTCATGAGAAACATTTCATCATTGCCTCTTATTATGAAATTATATATAGCACATCCTCATGAGAAACATTTCATCATTGCATCTTATTATGAAATTATATATATGTGTGTATGAGTGTGCGTGTGTGAGCTTGAGCTCAATCAAAACTTGATCTAAACATCAATAAGTTCCAATCTTCTATTTGGCTCCAATATAGAAAAAAATTATTACATCCGATGTCTGTATGTCTCGATGAAGACATGGAACAACACAAAATGTGCAATTAAATGACGGAATCATCATATACTCTCTCATTATAGCCCTAAATATTACAAATGAAATTCTTCAAAGAAATTTAATTCTATTTATATGATTTGTAACCACAAAAGGCCGAGGATTCCATTCTCGGGATAGCTGCTCAGATCACTGTTACCAACTCACCGGTTTCATTCTTCTCAACCGGCTCCGCCGCCTCGGCCGCCGCCGGAGATTAACGATGCCGGTAAACACTCTTCCTCTCCCAATCTCACCGAACTTCTCGCCATAAAACTCTCAATTTCGATCTTTGCCGAAATCTATAAACAAACTTTAGTGTGAGGATTGCAGCCTTATTGGGTTTTAGCGGGATCGATCTGTTTATCTAGGGTATTGTTCTTCGTTGCAGCTGAGAAGGCTTTTGGAGTTGGAGCCGCCGAGCCCACTGAGGTACCTCATCGGCGCGGCGATCATGTTGGTGGGCGTTGTCTTGCCGCTGAGTTACATGATTTTGCGCAACAAGAGAGTTCCTTCGTCATCCACCTCTCTCTCTAAGCAGACGTAGGTGGGCTTTTGTCGGTCTGGTTTCTTGCCCATGCTAGTTCCTTAGGCCGCTTCTTGTGGATCTAATGACCTCTTCCGCTGAGGGAAGATCTCAATTTTATCGATTTGGGGATCCGATACTAATTGATAAATTTCCTTTTCGACTTTGACCTTGCAGGAGCATCTAAAGGTTGACTAGATCTTGGTACTTAGATTCTTTTTCTAACAGTCACTCTGGTCTGTGTGGAGTTCGCGTTTCAAGGATGTGGAAGCTAAAAAGCTTCTACAGTTGGCTGGTATGGTGTACGGAAATGATTTCATTTTGATGGTTGAATGATTTGTTCTTATTTGTTAGAAGAAGATATGGCGCTTATTCGTGTTAAAATATTTCTTTTTCATGTTTTGTTCATTGAAATTAGCTTATTAGTGGAAATTCAACTGATGGTTTTTTTTCATTGATATTATCTTTATTTTTTTACTTATCCAAATCAGTTGATTAATAAATAAGAAGAACACTTTCACCAATTAGATAAGCTTGTTGGAAACTTGCAGAAGGAAGAAGAGCCATTTGAATATAGATATGTCATTAGCTTACTATCTGAAACAATCCATGCATATGCAGCATGAGCTCTCTTTTTATGCTGATTGCTTTCAAGTAGAAAAGATAGTCTAAATGGTATGATTGATTAAGTTTAGAATAATGTGTTCCAGTTCTGAATTGAAAACATATCCTTTTAGAAAACACTAACTTATTTGTCTTTTGGGTTTTCCACGTTTGGTGTTTGTGCTTTTATTTGACCACATCTTAAATATAATCCATAAACTAAATTAAATCTTGAATGAATGATTCACTTGAAAGAAAGCCAAGAGTCATTGTTCTGAACCCTGTTAATTCTTAGGAGATTTGTTATGGGTTTGTTTTAAGATAAAGCCTCATTGAACCAGCTCTGGTACAATTTGGTGTTTTCTGGTTGAAATTTGTAGGAGGCAGATGATGAAGAGGCGAAAGATTTGAGGAAGATTTAAGAGGAATCACGACTCAAACAAAAGTGTGAATCATACATGATCTTGTTTCTAGTGAGAAGCAGTGGTCAGGGGAGAAAGAGGGAATATAAGAAAATAATTAGTTATCATATCAAAGTATAGAATTAACCACATTGAATACAATCCTAACAACCATCTCAAATTTAAGCTTAAAATTATCTAAAAGGATAATTAATCATAATTTAAATCAGAATAAATATAAGTAAATAAATGTAGTTTAAATTTCGTAAACTGATTTGGTCCAACCTTGACTTGGTTTTATTCTAATTCTTGATTTGTGCTTATGTGCTGCATCGATGCCCCCATGGACAAAAGATCCAGGGCTTGTGGGGTCAAACGTGTGGCACTCTTCAAGTAAAATTGTTGCATTTTCATCACCTCATGTATGATTTAGAGTCTTCAATAGGAGTATGATTCTTCTAGTGAATAGAAGCTTGACGCGTTGAAAGATTGTTTGTATGTATAGAAAGATTTAAGGTTACGATGATAAAACATTACATCATCAAAATAAAGCACGTGAATGAAATTAATTTTTTTGAGGCGATTTAATCTAACAAGTATTTGATTTTAATATCCTCTAAATTTTGTATAGCTAGAAGATATTTTGCGGAGCTTTTTAAATGTGTGCGGAGGAAATTGCTTGGTTGAGTTCAAATGAGCAAGATTCCTACTTATATAAATAGTAGCAGTGGCACCATATTTCTCATTTTTCTTCGTGAATTGTTGCTTTATATTGGCTTGGATTTTATGTATATGCTCAGCAAAAGATGCTTTGGATTAAGAATATGTAGGCATAAAGTATACAAGCTTTTTAGCGCTCCTGTCATAAACAACTTTCAATGGAGATTTCTTAGTAGTGTGATGCGCAAAACAATCATTGGTAAACTCTATAATATGTAGCATTAGATTCTATTTGTCTAAACATTCACCGACCAAACATTCTAAGTAAACAACCTAAATTCATGTCGACCACTTATTTTTATCCATAAATTTATAGATGGAGACAATAAGAAAAAAAAAATGGTGTAAATTTTTTTTCATAAAGTTCTCTAAATGCGGACAAGAAAAAATACATCAAGATCACAAACTATGACATCAAATAATCCAAATATTCTAACAATTTCTCTTAAACTAAGCATCGACAATTTCAGAGGAAGTCATGAAGTTTCTCTTTTTAGAAAATTTATCTACACAATGAATATAAGCTTATACTTGTAGAAAGTTCTAGGTATTTAGAATGAGATCCATGTTGAATTTGACCCATGAAGCATTTGACATGGGTAAGAAAATGTATATACATTAAAAGTTTGTTTAGTAAACTTATCTAATTGGCACGTATGACATTAAGATTGACCAATAGTAATATATCTTACGAAAGGGCAATAGTAATGTGATGAGATTAATGTGACAGTTTTTTCTCATTTAAGGTGTTCAAATTAGTTCACCATTTGGAATTGACGTATAAAGAAGTCTGGAAGTGAAGTGCATGGAATGCATAATGAAAAACTCTTAAAAAGATATTTATTAGTAACTCAGAGCACATTTATTGTCTTTTATAAAATGAAATATAGAAAGAGAATCGTGACAAGAAATGTATTCAATCTTTAATCTATCAAATTTAAATACCTAAATAAAAGCAATTGTTTATTGGGTGCATGATACTCAAGGCCAGGTATGTTCTTATTAACATACGCCTAATATCCATCCACAAAAGCGAATGCTTGAGGATATGCAAGTCATCCATCATGCTAAAAATTATTTTCCATTGTGATTGCAAATATTTCAAGGACTCACGATCATAATAGAGCACAAACTTTTTTGATAATTTATGATTGTAAATCGTCTATCTTAGTTAATCAACAATATATTTTATTTTTTATTTTTTAAATTATATTTTTTTTTATGGTGTTCTTGGTTCTAAGCACCCCCATACCAAACTTAGAGGCTTTCCATGATATCTCATAAAATTTTAAAATGTCAATTGTTTTGAGAACTGAAGTAACAAAATTAGTTCTTTGATAGTGTCGAAGGCTTTTTTGTATGTAGGGTATGCAATGAGATTTAACATTCTTAGTACAGCAGTTAATGGAGCCATAATGATGCTTCATTTCTTAATGAATATGTGATAGAGAATGTTTTAGCCAATTTAAGACTGTCTTAACGTTAATGAATAAATTCTATATAATGAAGGTAAATGTGATGTAGCAAAATGGTTGCAAACATCCATGGGCAATAAACCACATCCGGTGATATCAAAATATTTATCTTTTTATGCAAGAACTTGACATGTTTTAGTGACAGGAAATTATGCTCTATGATGACAACTGGTTAGAATTGGTTAAAGATTTCATTCTGATCTTTTTGTAATATGTATACAATTCTAATAGAGATTCCAATAGAAAACATGAAAGTTTATGAAATAATAATTACTTTATTATTATGATAGTACATTCATTGATGATGTGGTAGATTAATAGACATTAAATAATTACAATAGGCCATAGATTGATGGGATGAAACTAATAATCTCACAATTCACTGAGATGGTATGAGTTGCATACGGTGAATGACTGCTAAGCTCGTTCAAACATTGTTGGAGATGGATTTAATAGAGGTGGATTGGATGGAAATGGATTCAACACATGCAACACAAACTAGTGTCCATTCATGCATTTTGTATAGTGACGGTGGTTATCTGTTAACCTGACATGTTGCAGTTAACGCGTCAACTTGGTCGATGGCTACTGAAGTTAACTCGATCATGTTGTTGGCCATAATATCACCTGAGGATAAGTTCGTTTCTGTAGTAAAAAATTTGATTAGCTTCATGTGCAAATTTATTTGTCTTGATTAAGATTTTTGTCCAGCTAAAGTCTGGGCATTACCCAGAAATATACAATCATTTCTTATAAATTTATGTGGTGGCTTGACAGAGGTTGAAATATATTATTTGTGTGGCTTTCATCACATCAAAAAATATCATTTAAACTTTTAAAAGTGAAATACGCATTTTACATGCATAAAGTGGCGCGCATGTAAAAATTGAAGTTTAGGTGTTAGATATGTAAATACATATGCATTGAGTGGTATGGTATGTATGTAAATTTTCCTAAATCAAAAATACCTTCATTTTGTTGTATCGTTAAAACAAATAATTCGTTTGTATACTTCGAATATATTTTTATATTTAATAAAAAATTGTGATATCTAAAGGAAGCAAAATAGAAAATAAAAAAATATGAATAAAATTAGATAAAAATGCAGGGGGTGGAACTAATTATATCAATAAATTATAATTAAAATATTATTTAAATGAATATAAATTTTATTTTTTAATTGTTCGATTTAAGCTTAATATTGAATTTAAATCTTATATATAAATCATAGCTAAAAATATAAATTAATTTTTAAAAAATAAGCTTAAAAATAATTTAAATAATTTTTATCGCATTAACTTAAAAATAATTAAATTTTCTCAATTTTTTCTTTTTAAAAAATACAACATTTATATTAAGTACAAATATATTTTAGGATAAAATGAAACAAAAAAAAATATGTTGAGTCTGTTATTTATTTATTACAAATACATAGGTTTTGGATGAGTAAATACGTAGGAATTAGGTGGTATACATGTAAATGCTCAAATGTGAAGACTGTTCGTCTGTGGAACGTGTGGAAGGTAGAAGATATTTTTTTGTCATACATTGCAAAATGACAAATGATTTATGTTGTTTAGAAGTAAAAGCATCTTTTTGAGGCCAAACATTAATGTGACTTGAATTTAAGGCCTATTTGAAAAAAAAAATTAAAATATTAACAAATAATTCCTAAAAATGCACTGATCACTTTTTAGGTGTTAAACATGTAAATACATGGGAATTTTGTGGTAGGTGTGAAAATGCATCTAAAATTTAAAGATAAGCAGAGTGGTCGACAACCTACTAACATCTGAAGCAGCAGCCATGGTTGACCCGCCCAAGCAATTTATGAGCACTTAGCTTTCATTTAACTAATTATTTTATATGAATAAATAATTATTTGATATTCATGCAAAGCGAGGATGTTAAAATAACCTTTTAACAATAACAACAAATGAAACACAGATCTACAAGCTGGGGGATGAAGGAGGATATATATATATATCTAAATATGGACAGTAAGACTATATATATATATATATATATATATGTGTGTGTGTGTGTGTGTGTGTGTGTGTGTGTGTGTCGACATTTGACGTTGAATTTAAGCACGGGGAGTGGTATGGTCCAAAAAGCATTCATTTTCCCTCCCAAAATCCATGGAAGCCAAAAGGGAAGGTAAGCTGTTCCGGCACTTCCAGCTTCACCACTACCGCATCATCATCATCTCCTATTCTCCTTGCGTCCAGCACTACCAGATAACATCTGTGCCTACAAACCGCATACTGTTCCACAAACCATGAAATACACATATCAGCCAAAAATTAATAATCAACACATTGCCACATAACTAAGACATACATATATATATATAGTTATATATATATATATATATATATATATCTCCACCTCTACAATGACGACATAGCCGTCTTCCTCATCTCCTGCCGAAGTACTCTTTGGTACAAACATGGGCTCTCCGATGAACCTTCTGCTCTCTGTACTCCATGAGCTGACGTCGCCGTTAGAACAATCAATTTTCACCACGGTGTCGAAAGGGAAATGTGGCAGTAACTCCGTGGAGCCGGAGGTTGAGCTGGCGTACATGAATCTGTTAGCTTTGCCGGAGTTGCTCGGATTGATCACCGGAAAATCACAAGGTTTTCTCCATTTGGTTGAAGAATTCGTAACAGAGCAACTGATACATGATCCCTTGCCATCTAATTCTAGTGATATCTATGATTTTATACACACCAGTGAAAATCTGTATATATCTCGAACAGAATCTTATATATATAATGAAGCTGGTTTGATTGATTTACCAGTACTAGATGGGGCAGCATTTCTTTTTCTTGGTTCATAAATGTAGGGTCCAGCTTTGAACTTCGCTCATCATACCCTACAAATTAGTGAAAGGAAATTATAGAAATCTGCTGTAAACCCAACTTGGCTGGTCTATTTAGTTAAATAAATTGACCATTACCGAACATTTTTCTGTAGCTGAACCAATGGTATGAGCAGACAGAAGCCTGAACATTAATCTGTATGTTTCCTGCAACATTATTCTCTTCAAAGGCATTGCCCATATGCATTGTCCAGAGTTGACAAGGAGCTTCAACTGCAGCTCTGGTCCAGTTCCTTCCCGGAAATATTGCGTTGTCTGAAAATCTTGGAAGCACGTAAATCGGAGTTGTGGGCTGACTGGAATTCACTGAAATACTTGATATCGCTGGGGCTAAACCAGCCGCTGCAAGCAATGTTCCTGGATGCATTCTAATTATTAATGCGAGTAGAAATTAATTAGAGTTAAATAAATTAATTAATGAACACAGATATAACCTTTCACATCGGTCTTGGTGCGGTTTCCCATGATTATATAGTAGGAATCAGTGAAGGCCCAGTCATGGATCAGCAGCTGCTCTGTAATGAGAAATTCCTTCTTCTGCTGCAGCTCAAAATTGCTGTCAAATTCTGTTTAAATTTTTAAGTTTCTGAGATGGAAATGTATACAATGATGTATGTGGATGGAGGTGGGGGACGTTTACCATAGAAGGTGAAGTTAGATTGCGGTAGAAAAATGTCTTCAGTGTCGCAGGAAAGTAAAAGAAGTCTGTTTCTCTGCGCATCGACTTTGTAATGTGATATAGTTCTCTTCGAATCCTTCCCCAGCATTGCTGGACTCATAAAATTAGTAAATTATTATTCACTAAGTATATATGGACAAGAACATAAATTAACATGTAATCGAACTATTTTTCTATTTCGCGTGCAAGCAAAGGCTTGAACTTTATTCCATTTGGGCCAACAACCGCCCGAGTTGCTTCCAAGTTATTATTATACGTATGACGTCGCAAAATCCAGAATTTCTCCAAAATTAACTAAATCCACCTATCCCATGACAGTAATTTATGATTAATTAATCCGATGCCCTGTTTAATTAAAATGGTTAATCATGATCCGGCAAGCACGAAAGTTGGTGCCTTGAGTTAGCTTGCCTGAATTGCATAAAATATCTCACCATGAAAAAAATGCTTAGTAATTCCGGCAACTAGATTCAGTACTCCGCCGGCGCCGGCGCCGGCGCCGCCTCCTTGCCGCTCCTCCGCCGTGGTGATAAGATCCGCCAGGCCGATGGTCTCCAACGACGTCGGCTCCAACTCATAAGGATGGCCTCCCTCCCATAGACAGAACAATCGTCCGCCCCACCTCAACACCGTAGTATTTGCCACATTCCTCAGCATGTTGGAAACCGGAGATGTCCAAGATGATGATTTGAACATGGAAAAGGGTCCCGGTCGCCGGAACCTCCATTCCCCACTCTCCACCACCCTGTCCTCCGTCGCGGCAGCCGTCTCCACATACCTCGCTGAATACATAACCACTCCTCCCCCAATGAAGTGGAAGGCGCGAAGATATCCGTGGCCGTCGAGGGGATTGACGGTGGATCCTTGATCGTCGGCCATCATGCCTGGGCCGGCGAGGTAATATGTTCCGAGGGGGAAGTCGGAGGGGAGCTTGCCTTCGGCGGGGAGGAGGGGGATAGGGTCGGTGGACTCCGCTGGCTGGGAGGTGAAGAGACGCTGGTAATCATCGAGGGCGGCGAAGGAGGAGGAGGGGGAGGCGGAATGGGGGAGGTTGGGGGG